GTTTTGGTGATACATCTATACTTTTCTTTGTTTTCGTTAAACGTTTACGATAATTGAGTAATTTTTTTCTGTAATCTGACATATTGATATAGATCTCTTCAATCATTCTTTGTTTTCGATTATTTAAATAAGTTTTAATTGAATTGAGACGAAATATTTTATCGACATTATTTTTAGATTCAAATCGTAGTTGAAACATATGTAGATTTTCTATGTATTGTTCTTCATATTCTTGAATTTTCATTTCATAAGCCTTATAGTAAATATTTAACCATGTACGTTTGACTTGTTGTATAATTCTATCACTTTGATTTTTAAATTCAATAGATGATATATCATGAATCAAAGGTTTATTAAGATGAGATTCAATTAAATGGTCTAGAGAATCGAAGTTATTGGGTAATAATTTGCAGAATACTCGTTGTTCTAACATGATGAATTCTTCTAGTAGTTGTTTCTGTATTTGTTGTATATTGATTAATTCATTCACGTGTACCTTATTCAAATAGATCACATAATTCGATGTATATGAAAGTTTTATTAGATTTATTCACATACCTGATCGTTCGGTGTTAGATAGAGTGATATTTGTTGGAATGCATTATTTTCCTCTAGGATATTTTTATATTGTGTTAATTGCTTATTTATCATTTTGGATAAATGTTTGTTTTGTAGACGAACAAATTGTTTAAGATTATCATCGAGTATTGCTCGTGGAGGAAGTGTTGATATCCATGATTGTACTTGTGTATTTAATTTAGCATAGCATAGATCAAGATGATTTTTAATTTCATTCAAATACTCAGCGATATATTGTTTACATGAATTTGGTTCATCAGTTTGAGCCATTATACAGACTTCACTCTTCAGATAAAAAGAAAGAAACATATATATATTTCATGTATAATGTTATTCACTTACTGGCCAGACTTGTGGTTGTGGCTGTTGTTGTGATCCAATATCCAAATATGATTGCCATAAATATCGATTAAGATCTAAAGTATATTCTTCATTGAACAGATGTAATCGTCTATAGACGAATTTTTGTTCATTGCTTTTTTTAAGAGGATGTTTTAGATTTATTCTTAAAGTGTTCATTAACGAATTCCAGGATACCTTTAAATAAGCTGATTGTCTACACAAAAGAACAATAATGATATTGCCATGAATTATATTAGAAAAACGGAAAAGAAAATATACCGATGATTGATATTTTTGATAATGTTCTTGATTTTTCTTTGTCGTCTTTTCTTCTTCTTCTTGTTCTTTTTCTTCTTATTCTTCTTCTTCATTTTCTTTGTAGATGATTGAAAAAATGATAATTGACTCGACGATTTAGCAACATTATCAATATTCTCTTTTGCTATAGTATCTCTTGTACGTTTACTTGAATTTTTGATTGTAGTCGTTGTTGTTTGACTTTGATTTCTATCCTTATCTAGTGGTTGCTCATGCTATAAGAGACAAACAATAGAAATGAATCTATTATTATCAAATTTACTTACTCTAATTGATATATCTGAAATTGTTGTTTGCATAGGTTGTATAGTAATACCAGTTCTGTTCACTACTTGATCTGTTAGATTTATTTGACGAGCATTTCTTCGTTCTTCAATTAATTGTGCTATAGTTGCTTCATCCATATTTTGTTTCCGACAACTCTGTCGAAAACGTTGATCTTTTCGATTACCGTGACACTTTTTTTTCCGTGTTGGTTGTAATTCTTGTACAAGTTGAGTATCATTGGTTTTATTTGTATTGTCAATATTCATTTTTTTTTTTTTTGAAAAAGGAATTGATCGACAAAAAGATAAGTTTATCTATCTGAAACGAAAAAGATTATTTACAATACAGTTTGATTACCACTGAACTATTGTTTTAATTAAGTGAATGAAAAAAGTTGTTTAATTTTTAATGATTAGAGTTCGAATGAAGACAATGAATTTTAAATTGATTTACACATCGGATACGTTCTTGTCTATTATCAGCACGTTTCTCAAGTAGATTAAGCATGACAGTAGTTAATTGTTGTTCAACTGCTAAGGATTGTTGCTTTCGTTCTATAAACATTTTGTCTAATTCTTTATTATACTGTTTGTCATAAGTTTTCATTTGCATTTCAGCTGTTTTAACATAGAGATTCAACATGTCCACCTTGGCTTGTTCAACTACACTTGTTAATTGATCATATATTTGTTGTTGAACATCTTGATTAAGAATTGTGCTAAAAAATGTTGGATGAGAGATTTGTCGATGTGATTGAGAACTATTTATATTATAATACGAAATACGTTGTTCAACTAACTGTACTTCTTCTCGTGTAATATCTTTTTTATATCTAGCATCATACAGCTGTTTATATAATTTGATCTAATTGAAATAAAAAAAAGAAAAGAATACACAATCGATCTATAAAGAACTTGATGTGGAGTCTTACACAATATTCACTTGGATTTTGTTGAAGAAATTCAAGTTCCAATACTCGGTCGTTATAATCATATTGAACTAATATAATTTTATGTTCAATTTTTTTACGTAGAGTTTCAAGATATTGTTGAATAAATGTTTCAATAGTTTGGTAAATAGTTTCTCTATTACCTTGCAAACGATATTTATAAATATCTAATTCTGTTTGATATTGTTGTATTCGAACATTGAATTCATGTAGACGATCTTTAACTAATGCCATACATGTAACATTTTCATTACTACCTGTTTTATTTGCTTGTTTCACAATTGTTCTAACTTGAAGTGGCCAAACCGATGGACCTATCGGATCTACTTTCAATTGACCCGTGCCTGATTTTAGATAGGTCATCCATAAAGATTGAAAAATTTGTTCAGATTTAATTCTATGTATTAATATAGCCATATCTCGTAAATCTTGTTCATTTTGAGATGGCACGGAAGATACTGTTGTTCTGCTTGTTATCATCGTGGATAATATTTCTTTAATTAGCTTTTGAAATGATTTATTCTTGTTAGATAAATAATTCGGAATCTTATTCGATTGTTTTACATTCTGTTGTTGATGTGGTTGAGAACACGATAATTGACTTAATTTTTGTGATAAAACGTTCTCATCTAATACCTAAAATCAATCGATCATATAAAAGCGAAACAAAAAAAAACTTTATTTTCTTAACGAACATTAATGGCATGTGACTTATCTACAGCATCAGTTTGATCCTCTGCATTTTCTTTTTCTAATACATAAACATTATCAAAATCAAATTGTTGTTTTAATTTATGATCATTGGTTCGATTAGAATTTTTTTTGTTACTGGACATGGTTAACGAAAGAAGTGAATTTGTCGTCACTTCACAGAAAGCTTGTTATTATTGATTAAATAATAAATCTGAAACAAAAAATAAAACAATATTAAATTATTATTAAGATATTGTAGATTGAAAGCATAGACACGACGCGTTTCAATCTTGCTTAAGGGTCCTCGTCAGGTATCTTTACAATCTACAACTGCATAGTGATCTAGAACTCTCCAGTTATTCGAAGAAGTTAATGACCAATTCATACTTAACAAAATCATATTTAGAAGCTGCCATAACTGTATGAAGTAAATGGAAATAAATACAAATAATAAGAATACTTGGAAAGTATAGATAGAGGATGGGTAGATGAAAGTAAGAAATGAAGTATCACACAGCAAAACGAACAGAGTTGAAAAGGAAAACGCGCAAATACAAACACACAGTGAAAAGGTAGAAAGAGAAAACAAGGAGGCGCAGCGCAAGGGAAAAAGAAGAAATTATAAAAGTGACTTACTTCGACCATCGACGATTATGAAATGACTGAATAGTTGGATGTGCACGGCTATTTATAGGCGATGGAAAAGAGAGTGAATTATAGAAATAGATTTTTCCCCAATTTTCGTATTTTCTCTCTCTCTCTCTCTCTCTTCGTTTATCGAAAGAGAACGGAGAGTGATTTATAGATAGAAATTTCGGAAAATATGGGGGTAAAGGTCAGAAATGATTACGTCATATTCGTACAGGTATAATTCATATATTACGTGAACACTGGACCCCTTGTTGGTACATCCATGTTACATCCGGTCCTCCAGCAATGACGTGATCAGAATTGTAATTCTTAGAAAGTAAAACAGCGTTGCATTATAAATTTCAATATAATAATAAATCTAGACATTTGCCCATGTAAAATTTTCGAATAGTAGCTGTCAGAAAGGCCGAATATCATTTGACTCAAAGTTTGATTCCAAGAGAAAAACCTTACGGAAGAGTAGTTATCATATAGTACTAAGATGATCTCTAGTGATCTTAATAGTTGAAGATGTCTAACGCACTATTGATACTATAGTGATAGCATATCGACAAAAATATCCATGCTGATAATGACGAAAAATTAATAAGAAGTTTTGAAGTCTGAGAAGCCTGTGAAGTACTAACGTTAATTTTGTATGCATTTTTTTTGTAAAGATTTGATGAATCTTTGTCAATCTCATATTGATATGAAACTGGTGAAAAATATATTTGAATTGTAGGGAGAAAAGACTGAGAGTAAACCCAAAATAAAACATGAACAAACCTGATGAAAATAGTTGAGAGTGGATGCAGTTGTTCTGGTCAGTAGAGATTGTAGTAGAAGAATCGACGCTGTTACCGTTGTGTTAATCGACGAAATGAATTGATTCATAGAAGAACACGCCTATATATATACCCGACCGTACGCCACACGACAACAAACTGCGACAACAAACTATGATAGACAATAATAAACTATAACACACGACAACAAACTACCACAAAGGACAACGAACTACGACAACAAACTGTGACAACAAACTAAGACAGAGGACAACAAACTATGACATAGGACAATAAACCACGATAAACGACAATAAACCACGTCAAAAGAAAATAAACCAAGACAAACGACAATAAACCACGAGAAACAACAACAAACTACCACACACAACAACAGACTACGGCAAACGACAGAAAATGTCGTATCTTAGACGATGACAAAGGTCAGACAGCGGACACGGGTAAAGTTCATGCCCTGGACGACATACAGTTCGAATCTATCCCACGGAATAAAATAAGTCATTAAAAAATCATAACCATCCGGTATATGCCGTAACACAGTAATGATGGGTCAGCCTGAATTGTGTTACGGCCCCTTACCCCACCTAGGCCTCCTCCTCAGAGATCC